ATTCCCCTTTGCTTCCATAGGCCAGCATGAGCATGCAGCACACCAAAAGCATACTTTGAATCAGTAAAAATGTTGACCCGCTTTCCTTTTGACAGTTCAAGTGCACAGGTCAGGGCTGTTAGTTCGGCAAGCTGGGCAGAGGTCCCAGCAGGCAAACCTTCAGCTTCCACAGTGTCATGGAGGGTCACAACAGCATAACCCGCCCTCCTTTGCCCATCTATTACAGTACTGCTACCATCAGTGTACCACTCATAATCTGCATTTGGGAGAGGTACATCCTTTAAATCCAGTCGGCTGGAGTACTGGACATCTATGATCTCTAAACAGTCATGTTTCTGTTCCTCTGTTTCTGGCAAGAGAGTGGCTGGGTTAAGGGAGGGGCAAGGCTGTAAGGTGACTTCAGAGTTCTCTAACAGCTTAGCCTGGTACCGAGCAATCCGAGCCTGGGTGAGCCAAAGCCCTCCCTTTGCATCCAATAAGGCTCGGACCATATGGGGAGTATAGATTTGCATAACCCCTCCCAATGTTAGCTTCTCGGCTTTCTTAAGCAATAGGGCAGTAGCTGCGACCGCCTGTAAACATGCTGGCCAACCCTTTGCAACCTGATCCAATTGCTTAGAAAAATAAGCCACGGGACGTCTCCATGCTCATAACAGCTGTGTGAGCACTCCTAGGGCCACCCCCCTTCGTTCATGTACATACAACTGAAACGGCTTAGAGAGATCTGGCAGGCCCAGAGCTGGGGCTTCCATCAATTTTCTTTTCAGGATTTTAAATGCCCTGTCAGCCTCTGGGGTCCAATAGAAGGGGTCATGATCTGCTCCTTTTACACAGTCGTACAGGGGTTTAGCCCACAGTCCAAACTCTGGGATCCATATCCTGCAAAAGCCTGCCATACCCAGAAATGTCCTGAGCTGCTTACGGTTACTTGGGGTAGGAACTTGACAGATAGCTTCCTTTCTTTCGCTTGAAAGCTGACGCTCCCCTTGCCTTAGCTGTAACCTGATCCCTCTCCACCTCAGACAACAGGGTTCTCAGGAGGACGTTACAATTATTCCAGTCCGGCTTGTGACTACTGAGGCACCCCTTAAAGACTGAAATAAACCTGCTTGCGTTCGTTGAGAATTCCCCAGCCTGTGTTTTAAAAGCTGCTAAGTCTATTGGATTGAATGGCACATGGGTGTAAACTTGCATAGTGGTAGCCTGACGTCCATCTGCCCCTGGGCAAGCCACAACCGTCTCGGTAAGCAAAGGATAGAGTCCCACCGAGGGGGCAATCTCTGTAACCCGAGGCATCCTACCCTTATACGGTGGGGGTGTGGGGGCCGAAGGGGACACCGGCTCTGCCATTACAGTGGGGGTGGGGGTCTGGGGACTAACATTAGCTGCTACCGAACCAGTTGGAGTCAGATTACAGTGCTGTAAAATATCTGGTCAAGTACATAAAGTCAGAAACAAATGCGCATACATATGTTCATTCCATTTCCTTGTTCTCTGACAGAACAGGAGTAACTGAAGGATCGTGTTGTAATTAATTGACCCTCCTGGTGGCCACCACTCCTGGTCCTCTAGTTGATATTGAGGCCAGTCAACTGTACAGAATCGTTTTAATTGGCTCTTAGTCATCGGATCCGCACCAAATACCTTCCAGTTTGCTAGAATGCACTCTAGGGGCGTACACCGTGCCCTAACCTCTGAGCTCTGTCCCTGTCCCATACCTACAGGGTAACTCTGGGCGTCCCCAGGTTCCAACAGAGCATATAATCCGGATTTTAAAAGGATCCTACCTTATCCAAGGGACCGGTTCTTCACCGTGGCCTGCAGCTGCTCCTCCCCCATGTCTAAGGGACCGGTTCTTCACCGTGGTCCACAACAGCTTCTCCACTATATGAGTGCGTTGCACCGTTGTGCCCTCTGGGGTCGATCAAATCGCGTCTCCTCCGAGGCCCCCGATGAACTCACCGGTGCGCGCTGGGCGTCGGTTCTCGCCGCAATCCTCGACCTCCAGGAGGGGTCCGGGCAAGGCTAAATTGCAGCCTCGAGCCCACCCAGGGACGCCAAAAGCTGTTGCCGGCACCCAGTGCCGAGAGGCTGAACAACAGCTTGAGTGGTTCGTTACCCGGTGTGCTACACCCAATAATCACAACGGGGTGGAGAAGCAGAAAAGTTTATTTGCAGCTGCAAAAAGGTACAGGGAGAATAAAATCTCAAATCCTGCACAACAGAGCAGGAAGTTACACAGGCTTTTATACATCCTTTTTCCCAGCATACTTATCCAATAGCAAGCTGCTCCAAGTATCCATATAGCCAGCCAATCCAGTTCCCAGCTAGTTCCCTGATTCTCTGTATCATTTGTTAAACTATACATAAAGCTGCTTTATTCAGCATTGTTCTTCCATATCTCCCCTGTTTGGCCTTGCTTAGTTTCAGGCAGTCTGACTCTGCAACATACTGTTGCAGATTCTCAGCATAACTGCTGTGTGTGCCTCCAGGCGGGGGGGCCCAAGGACACTTGGGCCTAGCACGCAGAGCTGCTGCGAGTGCCTCCAGGCAGGGGGGGGGGGGGGGGCAAGGACACCGGGGCCTAGTGCGAGGGGGCTTCATCGACACTTGTGGTCTTCCATCCCCTCGAGTTACCTAGTGGCCATGTCCCAGTGTTCCCAACATGTTCATGTAATTAAAGATGATATCATAATGCATACACTTGGGGGGGGGGGATTAAGATTGCACAGGCAACCTTAGTTCTAGCTTTCCCTAACTGCTGACTCCTTGACTTTCCAACCTTAATGTTCTTATTACAGCTGTTTTGGATGTAGTTTAATATGTATATTGTGGTAGTACCTAAAGGCCACCTCTGTTACTTGAGCTAGCTGAGTAACTTGTAGCTAGCCATTATAAGAAATAAGAATTTTCTAGTGGGTTTCAGAGCTATTTGCTGACAGCAGAGAAACATACAGACTTAGGACTCCTGGGTTCATTGGTTAGACCCTTTTGTCTCTGTGATCCCAGTATATTCACCTGCCACCATGTCTCCTATCCGTCTGCTCTTATCCATCCCCTGCACTCTGGATCCAGTTCTCCCACCTTGTCTCCAGACCCCCAACCCCTCTGTCCCTATCCAAACTCCTCACCCCCGGCTTCTAGCTTTGTGCTCCCTAGTCATCTGTTCTGTCTACCTACCACTCCCTGACTCCCACTCTCTGCCTATGTACCCCCCTATCCCTCCCCACTGCTCTTGTCCACCCCACATTAGTTCCAATCTCCATCCCTGACTCCTCCTCCCATCCACTGGCTCCTGCCACCCTCTTCATTCCTCACCCCTCTATTATCCCAGTCAGGTTACCTCCTCCTTTTCCTCACTGCCTGGGCATCAGCAGGGGAAAGCACTATCTGTCCTTTACTCTCAATCTCCCTGCCCTCAGCTCTGGTACCTGATGTCACCCCAGCCCGAGAAGCAATTGCAGGGAAAATTCTGCTCAGCCACTGTAGCCTTAGGGTGAGGAATGCTTAGTTAGCTTGTGGAGATGGCACATGTGCAGTGCTCAAATTCCAGGGGGGGTTGAGGGGAGCAGGCCCCCTTACTACTTTTAGGGAACACTTCACTTCTGTCTTATCCAAAAGTGCTGTGGGGCCATGTATTGGGCCCCTTCTCACCCAGCTTGGGTGTCTGCTGGGGTGCTGCTGCCTAGGTCCAGCTGCCCTTGGCTCGGGGGGGCCCTGCCACCTGCATGCCTAGCAGCCGGGCCAGGAGCTGCCGGGAGAGCAGCTAGTGCTGCCAGCCCATTGTCAAGGAGCCAGGGTGCAGCAAGGGGCAAAAGGGAGAGGCTACCCTGAGCGATTAGGGGCCCCAGCACCACCACTCCATGGGCAGGGGGCAGTCCCCTGCCCACAGCAGGTCCCAGGCTCGGACACTGCACTCTGGAGATGCCCTCCTCATCCCAGCAGGAAACAAGAGGCACTGCCTGGCACCCTGGCCAGCTGCTCAGCAGAAATCCGCTCAAGCCTGCCATATCCCATCCCGACCACTCCTCCTCTGGGGACAACAGGCTGCGGAGATACAGGGGAAAGGGGGTCAGAGACTAAGAGTGAGGGGATTGGGTGAGCCAGAGGGAGAGGGGGGTCAGAGACTTGGTAAACTGTGGGGGGTCAAGGACCAGGAGACCTGCCAAGGGAAAGAGGGCAGAGAATGGGAGCTGTCACCACAGGGGGACCTAGGGGATAAGGGGGATAAAGACCCAGTGCCCTGACCCTTCTAGGAGCTCCACACTGGGGAGAGGGATCTGCCGGGTTGGGGAGAGTCAGAGTGGAAGGGGGAACAGAGATAGAGGCAGGGTTAGGAGAGGCAGAGGAGGTGTTAGATACAGGGGAAGGCAGGAGTAGACCAGGGGAGCTAAGGGGTATTGGATAGATGCAGAAGGCTGGAGGGAGGCAGGTTACAGACAGGGCAAACTGCAGATGGGAATGAAAGGGGTAGTGCTGGGTGGAAGGGGTGCAGTGATTGATGCAGAAGGGGGAATTATGAGTGGTGGAGGAGACAGGGACAGAAAGTGTGGGTAATGGATAGGGGAGGCAGGGGCAATTAGGAATAGGGAAGGCAGGGGCAGAAAGTGGGGCATTAAATAGTAGGGGCAGGTAGAGACAGTTAGGGGTAGGGGAGGAGGCAGGGACAGAAGGTGGGGGCTTACAGATGAGAGAGTTTACTTTCATTAAGGGCCCCCCCATAATTCGAGCACTGAGCATAAGCAGGCTGGTCAGCACATTGGGGCTCTGAAGGGCTGGAGCATACTTAGTACAGATGGAATCTTCAGGGAATTTCCAGTTACCCCCTCTACTTTGCATTGTTACCCTGGGTGAGGTGCGGTAGAGCAGAATTAAGTTTGCTCTCAGAGCAGGCTAAGAGACGTAGGTGTATGGGTCACCTCCCTGGCTGTGTGGAATGAATAAAGTCCTTAAGGAACCAACTGAAACTGACCCAGATCAACAAGAGGCCCACAGCGACAATGCAAGCTCCAAAGTCTCCTGAATCAACACAACAGTGGGAAGCTCCGGCCAGGTGGGCTTTGAACTCAGCATGCCCCTGCCTGGAGAACAAAGGACAAACATGTACAGCAGGAAATAAGTGTGAGTTCTGGAAGAAACTTGGAGCTCTCTCCTAGGACTGACTAAGGAAGTCAGAGAGAGCCTGAAAAGGGAGCTTACTAGAGCTTGGCTGGTGAATTGTGACTTGACCAGAATGGACTGTGCTTTAACCTTTACTTCCCCGCTAACCTAAGGACTTCCCATGCTGTGTTCCAACTAACTAATAAATCCTCTTGTTTTCAAAATGCTGTTTGGGGTGTTACTGTAAATACTGGCTGGGGTGCATAAGTCCCTGAAGAGTGTACAAGTCTCTCACCAGGATTCTATCTCAGTTGGACTCATTGAACAGAGCCATAGGCGTCGACTTCCTCTTTAGCCGGGGGGGGTGCTTCCCGACCCCCGCCCTACCTCTTCCCACCCCGCTCTGCCCCCACTCCCACGCCACCCCTTCCTGCCCCCTCCCCTGAGCACACTCCATCTCCACTCCTCTTCCTCCTCCCAGCACCTCCTGCACACCGCAGAACATCTGTTCCGCAGTGTGCAGGAGGCACTGGGAGGGAGGGGGAGGAGTTGATCAGTGGAGCTACCAGCGGGCAGGAGGCGCTGGGGGGAGAGGAGGAGCTTGGCTGCCAGTGGGTGCTAAGCAACTGCTATTTTTTTTCCCTTGGGTGCTCCTGCCCTGGAGTCGGCACCTATGAGCAGAGCTCATGGTGGAAAGACCCAGAAATTCAGTCTTAGAAGGCTGTGAGGCAGCATGTGTTCTACCGTGTAGAAAGAGTGAGACCCCTTGGGAGTCTGGCACACTAAAGGGGTTCCTCCAAGAGACTGTTCAAAAGCAGGGGATACAATACTTATCCTGTGGATCCATGAGAGTCTTATACTGTGATTGAGAGTACTTTGGGGCAGGGACTGTCTTTTTTGTTCTGTTGTACAGCACCTAGCCCCATGGGGTCCTGGTTCGTGACCAGGACACCTAAGCACTATGATAACAATATCATTTTCCTGCATCTTAAAGTTCTGAGAGGTCTAGTCGACTTAACACATTGATTATTACCTTTCTACTTGTGTCCATGGCAGCATCTAAGCTTCCTCTGTGGTTTCTCTGTGCAGACCGTTATGGAGGCGTCATCACTTCCACTGTGCAGCCCTGTGCCCTATCTTGGACAATCTCACTACACGTCCTGCTAGTGCTTCTAGTCACTTGCCAGAAGATAAAACCCAAAACTAGAAGATGCAAGATGAAGCAGGTTACGTGGTTAAATCTCCAGCCCAAGATGAGACCCTAGATACCCACTCCAAGGTAGAATGATACTACTTCGTACTTCTGATTTTTTGAAGCACTGAATATTGATAAATATTTTAATAATCAGTACATATATCCCATCTGAGGAATATAAAGCATTTTATAAAAATGAATTAATCCTCAAGGTCCCTATGAGGTGGGCAGGTATCTCTCCATTTTATAGACGTAGAAACTGACAACCTGACAGCAGATTCCCTCCTTCTCTCCCACTCTTCCCACTACTGCCGGGCTGCAGTCTGGCTGTCTGCCAGTTATTTCCATATGATTCCCATGGGTGCTGCCAGATAGCTCACATTGGGTATATAACAGATCAGTGAGGGTTTCTGGCAGCAGGGAGTGAGTGACTGAGAACTGGGAGGGTTCTGGCAGTGTGAAGGCAGGTCATGTGGGGAGCATATGCCAGGGATAAGAGATGGTTTTGGACTGCATGGAAGCAGGGCAGGGCAAGAGTGACTAGGCAAGTATCTCAGGCTACTAGGCAAGTATCTCAGGCTACTGGTACCTTCCAACTGCTGTAAAACTTCTCTATTAACAAGCTTCCTCCCAAGTGAGCTCCTGAACACCACATAACACAGTTAGCTATCCAGGGATGGGCCACCTCTAAACTAGCTCATTTCTAATGGCTAATAAGTCACCATCTCTCTGCCCTGTCAATCCCGTTTGGGTCACTACATAAATACAAAAAGAAGAGGAGTGGCACCTTAAAGACTAACCAATTTATTTGAGCATGAGCTTTCGTGAGCTACAGCTCACTTCATCTTCGATACTTAAATACACTGAGCAGTGACTGGAGCAGCAGCAACGACATCTAGTGTCCAGACAGGATAAGCATGGGTGGCTATAGATTTAGTATTGAATTACTTTTTCTATTTCTTTATCCTCACAGGTGTGAATAATAGCATAGAATACATACACCAGTATGGAAATGTATTTCTATATATTTTGTCCTTATGGATCTCAGAACACTCTACAATTTCCATAAATAGAAAATCTCTGTACCCATGGTTGCTCCCACACCTATTCTTCATATGCAGCCTTTCTACAGCAAAACAATAATAATGAAACATCTTGTTTAGAATTTTATAGCTTTGTGGGGGTTTTAAAGCCAGAAGGGACCACTTTGATCACCTAATCTGATTTCCTACGTAACACAGGCTATGGAACTTCACCTATTAATTCTTGCATCCAGTCCACGTTAATTTGTGTGACTGCTCCTCATGTTACTGTAAGGCAAGTGATTGTTGTTACTCAGTAAACCAAGAACAATTAGTGACACCCCCACACTCACTTTTCCTTTAGAGGGATCTGGGTGCAAACTCTGCCAATAGGACTGGTTTCCATATAGGAATAAGTGCTACCAGCTTTCTGAAGAGAGTAAGACTTGCAGTCAGAGCCAGGATGACTGTTCAGCAAAGAATTCACAAATTCTAGTGACCCAGAATTAGGAAGAAATGGTAAACTAGAGGGTCACACATTTGGCTTTTGTAGTCTAAGCTCACTGCACAAACCAGGGGCTCCTTCCATCCCTCCATTCCCCCCACAACCTCCCTGTGTGCCCCTTCCCATCTCCTCTATTTCAGGGACTGCAACCACCCCACAATCCCACATGCTAGGAGCCCTGTATGTCCCCCCCACTCCCTCCTTCCCCCATGCCACAGATTCTGTGTCTCCCATACCCCCACCCCCATACCATAGAGCCCATGGCAGGAGAATGGGGGACACTGTGCCCCCCATTATCCTGTTCCCATACTGCCATTTCCTCCCTCTTCCCATACCAGGGTCCCCCATTCTCCCCCACACTAGAAGTTCATACACAAACCACCATAACAACCTCATTAACTCATAAGTAAAATACCAGCACAAGCATAGTGGAAGGTGCAGTGTAGATGGGCCCTGTCAAGGTTCCTTCCCCACCCTGATCTCTAGGGTACAGATGTGGGAACCTGCATGAAAGACCCCCTAAGCTTATTCTTACCAGCTTAGGTTAAAACTTCCCCAAGGTACAAACTATTTTACCTTTTGTCTTTGGACCTTATTGCTGCCACCACCAAACGTCTAACAAAATATAACCGGGAAAGAACCCACTTGGAAACGTCTTTCCCCCCAAAACCCTCCAACCCCTACACCCCCTTTCCTGGGGAAGGCTTGATAAAAATCCTCACCAATTTACATAGGTGAACACAGACCCAAACCCTTGGATCTTAAGAACAATGAAAAAGCAATCAGGTTCTTAAAAGAGAAATTTAATTAAAGTAAAAGAATCACCTCTGTAAAATCAGGATGGTAAATACCTTACAGGGTAATCAGATTCAAAACATAGAGAATCCCTCTAGGCAAAACCTTAAGTTACAAAAAGACACAAACAGGAATATACATTCCATTCAGCACAACTTCTTTTATCAGCCATTTAAACAAAACAGGATCTAACGCATATCTAACTAGATTGCTTACTAACCCTTTGCAGGAGTTCTAACCTGCATTCCTGCCCTGGTCCCGGCAAAAGCATCACACAGACAGAGCAAACCCTTTGTTTCCCCCACCCTCCAGCTTTGAAAGTATCTTGTCTCCTCATTGGTCATTTTGGTCAAGTGCCAGCAAGGTTATCTTAGCTTCTTAACCCTTTACAGGTGAAAGGGTTTTTCCTCTGGCTAGGAGAGATTTAAATGTGTTTACCCTTCCCTTTATATTTATGACAGGCCCTGACTGACCAGCTGCCACCCTCTTCCTGGGCCTTCCCTCACGCTTTCTGATGTCCCTGACTGGGCCCCAGTGGTGACCTACATGGCTGCATACAGTCACTTCCCCCTGCTTTCTCAAGGACTCCGCACTGCACACCTGGCTCACCAGTCCAAACACCATTCCAGATCCCAGCCCCGATCTGACCTCACAGCCAAAAGCCAGTTCCCGTCTGCCCTCCCCACTCACAGTTCAGAGAGCTGCTCTTTAGCTGCCTTTCTTGGCTGGGCCATTCACGCAGAGAGGTCACCTAATGATGCAGAGCTGGTAGAGGGGAAGGGAGGGAGGGTCACCACAGCCTGAAGGGCAGGCATCCTAGGTCTGAGGGAGATAACTGGGATTTATGTGCTGGGCTGAGAGGTGGAGGGAACACCTCACAGTGAGTGGAAGGGGCTGAACTAAGATGCCGGTCTGTCTGCCCAGCCCTCAGCTCTGCCACAAACTATCTGACCCTGCAATACCCTTGAGTAACTGCCAGTCTGATCCGCCCCTCCCCACTAACTACTCCAGGTGTGACACAAACTTCCCTACCACTCCCAGTTTGTCCTCTCAATTAACTGCCTCGGTCTGCTATAAACATCCCAGTCAGCTCCCCCAGACTCCTGTGATGTCCTGGACAAACTTGCAGTCTGTCTTCCCCTCACAGATCATAGAGAGTTCAAGGCCAGACTGCACCGCCAGATCATCCAGTCTGACCTCCTGTATATCACAGGTCACGAACACCACCCAGCACCTGCACACAACACACAACAACTGAAAGTATTGCAAAGACCAAAGTGTTACAGCCCTCAAGAGACTAGAATATTATGTGCCACAGACAGAGAACAGGAGGGATCCAGGTGCACCAGTGCCCGAGTCCCCCGCACCGGCAGGGAAATAATTAAGTGAGACGCTCCCAGATAATCCTGACAAGTAACCCACACCCCATGCTGTAGAAAAAGGCAACCTCCCCTGGCAAGTCCCTATCAGTCTCACATGGAGGAAAATTCCTTTCTGACCCCATATATAGCAATCAGTTAGACCCTAAGCATGTGAATTACCAGAGCTTCCCATGTGATAACTAATCGATTGGTGTCCTGCCTGCCCTTGCTACTTACTGGCTGTCCCAGCTCTGAACCTGCCATCCCTAACCCTCCATCCCCACCCCCACCCCCACCCCCACCCCAAAAATTGTTTCCCATTCACTATCTGACTTTGGCTTTTCCAGAACATACCCCAGCAATGTCACCACTGACTGTTCCCCGCACCCCCACATATATTAATTGCCCTGGTTCTTCCAGAGCCTCAGACCCCATCCACCTCTTTATCCTGAGTAACTGTTTTGCCTCTGTACCCCCTCACACAGACCCCCCAGCTCTACCAAAACCTCCACAATAACCAGCCCCATGTCTCTCTGACAGGCAGTCTGGTCCCCACATCACTAGCTGACCTAGTACGAACATTAGTAATTATTTGTGTCACTGCAGCACCTAGGGCCCCTAGGCATGGACCAGGACCGCACTGTGCCAGGCTCTGTATGAACAAACCTTCCTCCCAGACCCCAACTCATCCCTGCTGAAAACATGCCTGCCCCTCACTGCCAGACCCTGGTTCTTCCACAACCTTCCCGCATCTCCCTGGGACATCTGTTGGTCCCTAAAACTACCTGCCGCAGACCTGCCAGAACCCCAACTTCACATCCTTATATTACTGCCAGTCTGCCCCCATCTCCTCAGAGAAACCCTGGGGCTTCCAGAACCTTCCACCACTCCCAAGTCCGTGACTAAATACCTGTCTGTCTACCCACCTCAAATCCACACCAACCGCTCTGGGTCTTCCAGAACCTTCCACAGCCCCTCACCCTAGTCACTGCCTTTCCCCACCAGCCAGCCTGTCCCCCTACCACAGACAGACCCTGCTGTGCTGGAACCTTCCGCCATGACCCATTTTGTGTCTCCCTTTAGCTAAGGGTCTGTTCCTCCATCGTTAACTGACCCAGTGTTGCCAAAACCTTCCACACATCCCCCCAGCACACCCCTGCTGAGAACACGCCCGTCCCCCACTAACAGACCCCGGCTCTGCCACAACCTTCCCCCTTCACATCTCTGACTGACTGCCGCTGTCTCGCCCAGCCCCATAGAAAGTGGCTCTTCCGGCAGCTTTCTTCACCTCAGCCACTGGGACACCCAACCGCCAGCCTGTCCCCCCAACCCCCACAGACAGAGCCCCGCTCTTCCAGACCATCCCCCCACCTGTGACCCTGACTAAATACCACTCTGTTCCCCAGCCTACATACACATTAACTGCCCTGGCGCTTCCAGAACCTTTTACAACAAATACCCCACGTCCCTGAGTAACTGCCAGTCTGTCCCCCCACAGACAGAGCCCTGCTCTTCCAGACCCTCCTCCCACGACCCTGACTAACTGCCAGTCTGTCCCCCACAGACAGAGCCCTGCTCTTCCAGACCCTTCCCCCATATTCCTGACTAACTGCCAGTCTGTCCCCCACAGACAGAGCCCCGCTCTTCCAGACCCTCCCCCCACATCCCCGACTAACTGCCAGCCTGTCCCCCACAGACAGAGCCCTGCTCTTCCAGACCCTCCCCCCACATCCCCGACTAACTGCCAGCCTGTCCCCCACAGACAGAGCCCCGCTCTTCCAGACCCTCCCCCCACATCCCCGACTAACTGCCAGTCTGTCCCCCCACAGACAGAGCCCTGCTCTTCCAGACCCTCCCCCCACATTCCCGACTAACTGCCAGTCTGTCCCCCACAGACAGAGCCCCGCTCTTCCAGACCCTCCCCCCACATCCCCGACTAACTGCCAGCCTGTCCCCCACAGACAGAGCCCCGCTCTTCCAGACCCTCCCCCCACATCCCCGACTAACTGCCAGTCTGTCCCCCCCACAGACAGAGCCCCGCTCTTCCAGACCCTCCCCCCACATCCCCGACTAACTGCCAGCCTGTCCCCCCCCACAGACAGAGCCCCGCTCTTCCAGACCCTCCCCCCACATCCCCGACTAACTGCCAGCCTGTCCCCCCCACAGACAGAGCCCCGCTCTTCCAGACCCTCCCCCCACATCCCCGACTAACTGCCAGCCTGTCCCCCACAGACAGAGCCCCGCTCTTCCAGACCCTCCCCCCACATCCCCGACTAACTGCCAGTCTGTCCCCCACAGACAGAGCCCCGCTCTTCCAGACCCTCCCCCCACATCCCCGACTAACTGCCAGCCTGTCCCCCACAGACAGAGCCCCGCTCTTCCAGACCCTCCCCCCACATTCCCGACTAACTGCCAGTCTGTCCCCCCACAGACAGAGCCCTGCTCTTCCAGACCCTCCCCCCACATCCCTGCCTAACTGCCAGTCTGTCCCCCCACAGACAGAGCCCTGCTCTTCCAGACCCTCCCCCCACATCCCCGACTAACTGCCAGCCTGTCCCCCACAGACAGAGCCCTGCTCTTCCAGACCCTCCCCCCACATTCCCGACTAACTGCCAGTCTGTCCCCCCACAGACAGAGCCCCGCTCTTCCAGACCCTCCCCCCACATTCCTGACTAACTGCCAGTCTGTCCCCCCACAGACAGAGCCCTGCTCTTCCAGACCCTCCCCCCACATCCCCGACTAACTGCCAGTCTGTCCCCCACAGACAGAGCCCCGCTCTTCCAGACCCTCCCCCCACATCCCCGACTAACTGCCAGCCTGTCCCCCCCACAGACAGAGCCCTGCTCTTCCTGACCCTCCCCCCACATCCCCGACTAACTGCCAGCCTGTCCCCCCCACAGACAGAGCCCTGCTCTTCCAGACCCTCCCCCCACATCCCCGACTAACTGCCAGCCTGTCCCCCCCACAGACAGAGCCCTGCTCTTCCTGACCCTCCCCCCACATCCCCGACTAACTGCCAGTCTGTCCCCCCACAGACAGAGCCCTGCTCTTCCAGACCCTCCCCCCACATCCCCGACTAACTGCCAGCCTGTCCCCCACAGACAGAGCCCTGCTCTTCCAGACCCCCCCCCCACATCCCTGACTAACTGCCAGTCTGTTCCCCCACAGACAGAGCCCCTCTCTTCCAGACCCTCCCCCCACATCCCCGACTAACTGCCAGCCTGTCCCCCACAGACAGAGCCCTGCTCTTCCAGACCCTCCCCCCCACGTCCCCGACTAACTGCCAGTCTGTCCCCCCACAGACAGAGCCCCGCTCTTCCAGACCCTCCCCCCACATCCCCGACTAACTGCCAGTCTGTCCCCCCACAGACAGAGCCCCGCTCTTCCAGACCCTCCCCCCACATCCCCGACTAACTGCCAGCCTGTCCCCCACAGACAGAGCCCTGCTCTTCCAGACCCTCCCCCCACATCCCCGACTAACTGCCAGTCTGTCCCCCCACAGACAGAGCCCCACTCTTCCAGACCCTCCCCCCACATCCCCGACTAACTGCCAGCCTGTCCCCCACAGACAGAGCCCTGCTCTTCCAGACCCTCCCCCCACATCCCCGACTAACTGCCAGCCTGTCCCCCCCACAGACAGAGCCCTGCTCTTCCTGACCCTCCCCCCACGCCCAGTGGTGAGCTGCTCAGGCCCAGGGAGCCGGAGGTGAGCGGGGGGGGGGGGGGCGCAAGGAGGGCCGCCCGCACCGCAGCAGTAACCCGGGGAGGGGGACACAGAGGAACCGCTCCCCGCCCCAGCTCACCTCCGCCACCCTCGGCCTGAGCGGGAAGCCGCCACCTGCTTCTCAGGCCTCCCCGGCTTCCCGCCGGACAGCTGATTCCCGGGAAGCCGGGGGGGGAGGGGAGAGCGTAGAAGCAGAGCGGGGCGGTGGGTTCAGGGGAGGAGGCGGAGGCGGATGTGAGCTGGGGCTGGGCGCGGCACAGGGAGCTGTCGGTGGGTGCTCTGCACCCACCAAATTTTCCCTGTGGGAGCTCCAATCCCGGAGCACCCAGGGAGTCGGCACCTAAGGCGCCACTTTTGATGTGATCAGCGCAGGGAGCGGCCACTCCCCTTGCTCCCCCCCCCAGCTACGCTCCCCCACCCCTAGGAGCCAGAGGGACCTGCCGGAAGCTTCCTGGAAGCTGCCCCGGGTAAGCACCGCCGGGACTCCCCACCTCGCCCCCCAGCAAGTCCCTCTGGCTCTTAGGGGTGGGGTGGGCACCCACTACGGTGGCCCACGAGACCCTCTTGCCCGGTTCTGGGGGCAGTCAGGGGACAGGGGAGGGGGGTGGATGGGACAGGGGTCCTGGGGGGCGGGGGTGGGCAACGACCCCCTCGTGGGGTGAGGAGGGAACCCGTTGCTAAGATTTTGGCAGCTCATCACTGGCGGCAACTACCATGTAGGGATTAGCAAACGGAGAATGAGGCTGTGTGTAATAAACCATTACATACTGTAGCTATACATTCAGAACCAGGCCAGAGAGATAGAACAAGACAGGACAAGAGAGAGAAAATTTTTTTCATTACACAGTGTAAGGTGCCTTCTGCTTTCCCCCCGCACACTGTACAGTGAAGTTGTGAGAGCTGGATCCCCTGGGGTTTATGTACTGAGCTCTACCACCACCTTGGTCATGTAATATTTTTCCCTTTGTGGTGATAATGAAGTGTCCAGGATATTATTCACGAGTGTGTTGGAATCAGAAATGGAATCACCATGGAAATGTGGGGGAAGGGGAAATTTCAGGGTGCAGCATTTTGCACACATTAATTTTGAACTACTTACTCCAAACGCCCATCACTCTCACAGCAACTGCCAGGATGAGGATCACAGCTGCTCCCAGCCCCAGAGCGAGCCAATGCCAGCAGGGATGCTGAGTGTGATCTGTAAGAGTCAGTGTTTGGTGAAACGTCTTCAGCACATAGTGCAAAAAATAATAATGGCCAGCTGCTGTCTAATGGAGCAGCAGCATCCAATGGGGGTTTAAATTCCTCCTCACATAATACCAGGAATAGTTTTAAACCGGTCACTTGTAGGGCATTGTGATGGGGTGTCCAACCCACACCGGCATGGAAAGGGTTAATGGAAGCCAGATGGGCCAATTCACCTAGCACATTGAGAGCTGAGAGGAAAGCCCTGCTTAGAGGAACAAGCTCACCTGTGCAGGAACAGGGGGGGCCTGTATAAAGCCCAGGTAGCTGGCTATAAAGGGTGGGGCTGTTGCTGTGAAAGGCTGCAGGGAAGTAAACTGCAGTTGCACCTTGGATCGAGGCAGTAGCAGATTAATGATTTTGCCGCCCCTAGGCCCTGAAATAATTGCCGCCCTCATATGAACTTGTTTTAGTTTTTTTACAAATTCGTTTGGAGGCTGACAAACACAGGGGGTGGGGGGAGCCAGCTATGTAGGAAGAAGCCCAGGAAAACAGCAGCAAGGGGTGGGATGGTACAGAGACTGTGGCTGCTTGTTCTAGGGTCCCTGGGCTGGAACACAGTGCAGAGGGTGGACCTGGGTTCCCCTACCAGCCTCTAGGAAGGCGAAAGGGCATAGGAGATGCCAGCCAGACCGCAGGTCTGGAAAGACTTTGAATTCCCTGGAAGGGGAGGACCTTAGTGGCCTGGCTAGAGGGCCAAGTCATGAAGAGGAGACTGCAGTCCCTGGAGTGAGAGGGGCTGCGGAGTGAGACAGCACAGGAAAAGACACCACCAGATGGGGAGTGCAAGCTTGAAAGAGCTAAAACCTCAGCTACCCCAGCCTGTGACTTCCTGGTCCTATGGGCATTGGCTTCCACTCCTGGGATCTTTTTGTATTGCACCGCAGAGAGTTTATTTCCAGGATGTGACAATGAGGCATTCATCTGTGTCTGATTGTATAGATCGGGGGGGATCTGCTGTAGGAGAATTGAACCCAGGGGACCTAATTCTGGATGGGAGACAGGCTCCAAAGTCCTGTATATTACAGAACTCACAGGGGAGAGGAGAAGTAGCTCAAGTGTGTAGTTTGAGCACAGATCTTTCTCCTGAGCTGATACAGTAAATCTAGAACTCAGCGAGGTGCAGGAGATGCTCAGATCAGTCTTTCTGCTGTGCATTACTTTGCTTTTGTCAATGTCAGAATTTCATCTTCTGGAGTGTTAAGCTCTTTCACCCAGTGACGGGTGGTGAGGTCTCTCTGAAGTCCCTTCGTTTTCTCCGATCCTGAGTGACCTAGCTAATCTAGTGACATGCCCCAGTTTTGCAACCTCTAGACCCTCCCTCTTTCCAGATCATGAATATATTAAACACCAGCCCTAGTGAGTGTGGCAGCCCACTGCTAACATTTTGTCATGATGAAATTGACCATTAAGTCCTACTATTTGTTTCCTGTCTCTAGGCAGTTTCTGTTCCAATCTAGTACTTTACCAGTCACCCCATGAATACTTAGGGCTTTTCTACACAGGGAAATTGACCGGATGGTTGTTCCCGAATAGGTCTCTATGTGCACACTCTATTCCAATTAAAAATCACTTTATTCCAGAATAATTAGTGCACTTTCAAACAGGAGTAATTATTTTGTAATAAAATCACTTTTAAAGTCAATATCCTGGTCAGTTTACCCGTGTAGACAAGTCCTTATTTTCCTTTGTAAAAGGACCTCGTCAAAAGCTCTTTGAAAGTCAGGAGGCTGGCACAGTAGTGTACGTATTAGTGTATCTGTATTCTTAGCACTTGGGATTTATAGCCAGGCACATTATACTGGCACAGTGCAGCTCCCAAATCTAATCTGTCCTTCCTGTGTAGTTTACAATCAGGTGCTACAGTATCCCATTGATTTGGGGAATTCTACCACCTACTGTGTCAGGTCTTCAGTCAGAGTCCGTTCCAATTCACCTGCTTGTTGCCTTGACACTTCTCGCATTTGTAGATACACACGTACAGGTTTTACTTTTGACCATCTGCCTATTTTTATTTAACTCCTTTGATGCCCTTTTGCAGAATTTATTTTTGTGCTCTTACCCTGCCCAGCCTCCTGATCAGCTGTAATGTATGTCCTGTCCTTTACGGCAGTGGTTCTCAACCGGGGTACACATACCCCTGGGGGCGCATCAATTCATCTAGATCTTTGCCTAGTTTTACAACAGGCTACGTAAAAAGCACCAGCACCCTCACTACCTCATCTCTATCCACCGCTCTCTGCAGCTATCTGCGCCGTCACCAGATTATCACGATGGCGCATCCAGAATTTCCACACACACGAGCCGTTTTCCCTTGTCCCCTCCCTGCAAGGTGACATGTACAGGCACAGTCAGTAACAGACACCACAGGGAGACAGTAAGTCACATACCTTGGGTCTCAGGTTGACACGGCCGGTCTGATGTTGTCCTCTTCGGACGAAGGTTTAATACCGTGTAACCCTCTTCGTCCTCCATTGGCCAGGCTCGTCCTGGGTTTGAATTCTTTTCAGCAAATACTCAGAGGAGGAAAAAGAGCCAGCTACCAGCTAACCCCCAGGCTCTGCAGCTCAGGGCTCACACCTCCAGAAGCAGCATTGACCCTCCTCATGAGAAACCACAGGAAGTTCAGGCTCTGCACACAAGTGACACCCAACTCATCTGCCTTCCCCCACACCCCTGAGGCCATCACTAGACGCTTCTCTCCTGCAACTTCTGCTGAGACCCAGAAAAGTTAACTTTAATTTCAAGGGTAGGGTCTGAAGTCAGTGGTGCTACACAGAGTAGAAACCCCTATACGTAGTAGTAAGTGTTTGCTGGATCAAGCTGTTAGCTGTGACAAAGGAAATTACTAGCTCTGCTATAGCAAAGACCTAGAATAGCTTTCTGTTTAAAGGTTGACTGTTCTAAGTGCTCTGAAGTCCACATGGGTACTCAAATTGCCTTAAAATGTGGTGTGCCTCATGGGGCTGCAGGGGACGGCTAGTGATCCAAATTTGAGGTCATTTGACCCAGGGGTTCCTGCGATGCAGCCCCCACAAAAAAACAGCCTTTCTTAAGGTTGACCGATTCTATAAACATGTTTTGTGCAGACCTAGTGATCAAACCATGGCTGTGATTGTAGCCCATGTGGTCTGAATCATGGCACATCTATCCCAACTAGTGCATGGCACCCACTGCCTCTCCGGTGGAGCAGGGTTGCAAACAGTATTACAGAAAGAGTTTAGCTCTATAGATAGCTACATGCCTAATGCTCATACACTGCACATGTGGGGCAGAGTAGGCGAGAGGGTTTTCTAGTTTACCAGCTCTCAGTGCAGTTGGGTGCATTCAGGGGCTCTGCAGTGAACAGTGAAGGTGACCAACGCCTAGCTGGCATCAGGCTGAATTAAACTCAGGGCAGAAATCTGAAAAATGTCTGTAGCCATGTTGCTAAAATCTGCCTCTGTCAATGGGGTTTTGTTCTTTTGGGAAATGTAACCTGAGCATGGCAAATCATGCAGAAGGTGTTTTAACCTCGTTTTGAAAAGAAAATAAATTACACATGCAAATGGTTGGTGGAAGGAGGGGGAGAGGGGTTTGGGGCTGAGACAAGGGAAGAGAGGGGTTATGGGGAGGAGGATAAATGGGGATGAGTGATAGGAGAGGGTTTGGGGGCTCAGGTGAGGGGGAGGAGGTAGGGACTAGAGGAGTGGGAGCTAATGCCCCAGTAGCTTGCATTGCTTGTCTCAGACCCCTGTATGCCCTCCTCTGGACCGTACTCCTCAATGCTACCTCCTTTGGGACCCCATTGAAGTTACTTACTGCTGATGTCCTTTACCCCTCAGGCTTCCCATCACCTACTAAGCATGGATCAGTAGAGCAGTGATTAGAGCACAGGAGTGGGAGTCAGGACTCCTGGGCTCTGGGAGGGGAGTGGGGGCTAGTTGTTAGAGCTGGGGGGCTGGGAGTTAATGATTCATTTCCACAGTACATTTGTGATGGTTCGGTCACAGAGACCCCCTTAAGACTGTCACTTGATGCGCTGGGGTACCACTGAGAACAACCCTCCTGCCAGAACGGGCGCCCCTCCACTCCTGTCTTGCTGGGCTAAACACTCCAGTTCAGGTCCAGCACAGACCCAGAGGTTGGGCCACACCCCACTGAAGTTCCTCAGACACTGAGATTCACTCAGTCCTGGGGCTTCTCAGTTAACAGGGACTTTCCCAGAGCCCAGTATACAGCCTCTCTGGGAACCTGAACCCCAAATAAATCCGTTTTACTCTGTTGGGTACTATGACCCAGTGATTTATGGGTTTTATCCCAACAGACTGGGCTTGGCAGGGCTGGAATCGGGCTGGGCTCAGCCCCAGGGTCCCATGAACTGTCCTGTTGCCTCTCATGCTGGGAAACCTGAGAGAGTTTCTAGTGGCCGAATCCCAACCCTGGCTAGAGCTGGGCTCACAGTCTGGGATTACTCACTCCCAGCCCCCCTCCTCTTTCTCAGAGCCCCAGGTGGGACGATCCCTCTCAGTAGGGCTGGGCCGGCCCAGTCAGCTCCTGTCCTGTGGGCTGCCTGTCAAACCTGCCTCTGCAACTCACCACAGCCACTGACTCCATAGAGTGGCGGCTCCGTGTCCCTGCCGGGGGAAGCACTAAGGGTCTTGGGCTGTGCAGGGAGTAAGCTTGCCCTTCCTCAGAGCAGCCACCACCTGTCTGGCTGAGAGCGGGGTGCTATGTGCAATGCTGCTGGGAAGGAGCCTGGTAAGGAGGGCTGAGGTGCCAGCAAAGCCAAAGAGCTGCCCAGCCCCAGAGGGGAGAGGAGAAGGGTGGGGGTTAGGGATAAGACAAAGGGGCCATGTTAATACTGATTGTGGAGGGAGATGGAGTCTATCTATGCAGTCCTCCACACACACACCCCACACACACCTCCTGCACTTGTCTCCAGGCTCCCTATTGCAAGTCCCAGTCTGATGGGACTTCCATCAAACTGGGATTCTCAGCCAATGATTGGTTCACTGGCTGAGACCACTGTCAGAGGAGCAGAGCTACCAGCCCCCCCTACCAAACCTAGAGCGGGGCCTGTGGAGGGGAGAACTGTTGCTGTTGCAGAGTCCTGTCTTCATGCCCCACAGATGGATCGTCAGACTGGGCCTTGTTCTCAGCCTCCCCCCACTGTGGGCTGGGCTGGTATCATCTGACCTGGGGCTCTCAGCTGGCAAACTATGGGTGGCTCATTGAAACCTGGACTTCTAAGTGGGGTCCACACAGAGCTAGAGGAGCAGGTGAGCATCACAGCCTGGGGCCTAAATATAACCTGGCTTGTCTTATTTTTCAGGATTTCCTGCTGTGTTATAAGGGCTTCCTCGACCGTTGGATCAGCCTCCAGAGGAAGCCAGGCCAGGCCTGGAGATGGCCCAATGGCACCAAATTCGACAACCGGTGAGTCCCTTTCCCTCTAGTAATGTTCTCCATGTTAGATCACAGGTGTCTGCTGTGCTACCAGCAGACCAATAACTCCTCATCTACCCAAGTCCTTTGTTTTTATTTGTAATATGTATGTTTCACTGATTAAAATCAATATGCCACCAGCCTTTGAGGCCCCAGGGAAGTGTTGTTATTTATTATTTGTCATCGTAGTGCCCCTAGGCCAGGGCCCCATTGTGCCAGGCAATGTAGAAACGCAGAACAGAAAGATGGTCCCTGCCCCAAGGAGTTTGCAGTACAGCACAGTTTTGGGCATGGAAAAGGCTGCTGCTCCACTGGGGGAGACCTTAACCAGAACTCCCTTCTCTAGTGGGCTGTCCGGGTGGAAGTTAGACCCCTTTACTCTTTGTAAAATGCATAGGATGGAGATGAACAGGGTCACTTCTGCACTGTTGGTAACTTGAGGGTCTCTCCCTGGGAAGGTGCTAGAGAGAAATCTCATTTCACTGACAGTCTGTCCTGACAGCCCTGTGGGGTTTGAAACAGGCTTGTGGCACTCTCTGACAGTCCCCCAGCTGCCTGGGGAGCATCGTATCAAACTCTTCTCCACAGAGACCTGCTGCTCTCTGCCATGTGAGAGGCTTGTAGATTCTCTCCCCTTTGAGCTGAATGGGCCTGGAGAGAAAGTTGGGTCTAGGTAAGAGTGTCAGGCAAAGCTGAGTAGTGAGCAAGTCGTGCCAAATATCTACCAGCATAAAGACTTCTCTGGAAGCCTCAGCTGTCATCTTTCAGCCCCACCACCTTTCCTTCTGCAACGGAGTCTGAGATGGGCTAATGTCTGCATGCAGCCACTCCCCTGACGGACCTGCCCTGTGTATGTGACCGATGGGAAATGCCCAGCCCCTTCCTGACTCCCATCCCCTGGTGTCTCTGTTGCAGGTTTCCAATAAGAGGAGGAGGCAAATGTGCTTTTCTGATGGATGAGAACTGGTTTGGCAGCTCAAGGTGTATGAAATGGAGACACTGGGTCTGCAGCAAACCTGATGTCTATATGATGGGGAAGGGATGCATTGTGGAGTCAAAAGTTTGAGACTCGTGGGAACTGGACCTGGAGAAGTTTTATTAGGGGGCCCATCTACTACTATCTGAAGATGATGGAGGCTGGATCTCTGTTACTTCAGGAACGTCCCCAGGACTTTGTCCATTCCTGGCTGTACACAGTCCAAACCAAGGGGCTTCCAGCCCTTGCGTTGTGGACATGATTCTCCATAACGGCATGTTCCTGAGGGCTTAATGGTATTTTCCCTTTGGCTCAGTTTAATCCCACTTGTTCCAGTTCTCCACCCCTACAAGGACTCTGCTCCAAGACCTCCCCTTTGATGTCCGTCTTTGAAATGACTGCATCGCCCTAAGACAAGACCTAGTCCTCCTGTATAAGCCAACCGCCTGGATCAAGCGCTGCCAGGGAGCCAGAAGGCGGAGACAGAAAATGCCAGCCAAAATGAAAATGGAGCAGGTGCAAGGGAGAAGTGCAGTGGCTTTTCTCCCTTCCCAGTGACAGAAAGTTAAGGCACAAAATTAATTTTAACTTCATTTTTTTCTCCACAAATTGTGTTGAGGCGTAACTGACTCTCCAAGGTTCAGTATTAAACACACAACTGCAAACTATCCTGATGTGAAGGCAAGACAGAAAGAAGAGTGAGAGGTCATTGTGGCTCCATCAGGAGCTCTTTAATGGTCTGAAAATTCAAAAGGAATCCTACACAAAGTGGAAACATGGACAAATTGCTAAGGATGGTAGAAAAGAACAGCACAAGCATCTAGGGAATAAAATCAGAAAGACTATGGCACAAAATGAGTTACACCTAGCAAGGAACATAAAAGGCAATAAGAAAAGGTTCTTTAAATACATTAGGAACAAGAGAAAAATGAAAGAAAGTGTAGGTCCTCTACTGAGCAGGGAACTGAAACAGCACAACAGTTAGTCCAAGACCCCACGGGGGTCTGAAGGAGCAAAGGAGGATGCTTCTGGCAGAGCCAGGGGAAGGGGAAACCACCTGGCAGTTAGTCGGGGTGTCACAGGGGCTAGAGAGGAGAGGGAGGTTGCCGCAGACAGGTAGACTGACAACGCTGAACTATCCATGACTGGGTTCCCTGTCCCCCACCCACCCATCCACATGCCTGTGAACACAAAAATCCTGGCTGCCTCCTTCTTACCTAACCCCATTCAAGCTGTGGTGGCCTCGCTTCCCGTTTCTGGCCTTGTCTGCATCGTTTGCTGACAACCCTGCAGTATGGGCACTGTGAAGCCAGGAGAGGTGCAGCTTTCCGAATGGTGAGTGGGGAGGAAGATGGGAATTGGCCCTCGGCTGTGGAATCAGAAAAGATCGGGGCTGGGATCTGGGCTGGCACTTGGGATGGTGAGCCGGGTGCGTGATGTAGGTGTAACTCACCTACCTCCTGGGTGTGGTGTTCTGTCCCATCTGGTGGCACCAACACCACTTAGAGAGAGAGTTAATGAGTCTGTTCTACAGCCTTAGCTAACAGCCATTGGCTTTTAGATCATGCGGTAGACCTTCATGCACTAAGCTCCAAAAGTCCCAGGTTCGGACAGAACCAAGGTCTGTTGGCTATTACATAGGCTTCCTGAGAGAGCAGTGGCAGGAGGCCATATGCTGCCACCTACGTCTCTACTGGGGGTCAGTCAGTGATGACAGAGTGAGGGAAGGTCTGGAAGGGTGCAGCAGCTGCTCAGCGAGTGCCCATCCACACTACAACGTCAGCCACGCTTGTTCTAACCTTTAATTCCAGTAACCAATGATGTTGCTGTTTCAGTTTGTGTATGATCTCTAGTTGCAGTTTTAAAAGCACCATTTTCTTTTGTTTGCCATGTCCTCCTGGTTGTCGGAATTCTTTGAACAATCACCATTGCTCACCATTGTTGCTTGTTAGAAAGCCAATAGCATTTGTTCTTTTGTGGCAACGAGTTCCAGGGGCAAAATTTGCATTCAGGTCCCTTTGGCAGCTGGCTGGGCGGGGGTGGGGAGGGAGGGAAAGGGAATCAGATATGATTCTGGGGGTACTGAATAACAAACACTTTCCATACAGTAAGTTGAGGGACCATCGTGCTAAATAATTTGCACTAAATGCAGGAGTTGCTATCTCAAGGGTTATGTAGGAGGTCATATTAGATAAAGTGGCCTCTTCTGTTACTCTAATTTTATTTATATATCTTTTGGTGTCGATAGGCTGCATCCTGGGAATAGGAAAGGTGGGTGGAAGCAACCAAACATAAATATGTTCAGTCTGTTATGGATTTTAGGGGAAAATTTAAGAGCAGAATGAGTTAATAATCAAAATAGGCCAAGGGAAACGTGAAGGGCTTTCACAAATGTGTATATATAAGCCTTGGATGCAAATCTAATGTATCTGGGAAGATCTACAGAGAAACCTAAGATAGGGCCTGACCCAACTCCTGTAGAAATCGACTCTCATTGACTTCAAATCTAGCCCATAGACAGTAACAGGACTGGTCAATATTTTAACTTTTTTGCAAATATTATTGAATAAATGAACACTTTAAATTTTATTCAAAAGCTTTCAGGACCTTTTACAATATTCACAGCTAATTTTCTCTTCAGTTTTTCCCCCTGCCATTTTTTTATCTTTTTCCACTTGAAAAATTGGGGGCAAGTTTATTTTTTTAAATGAGAAAAGACTGTCATTTTCTTTTCTCTCCTTTTCTAATGAAAAAGAGAACCTGCAAAACTGAAATGAAACTCTTTATCTATATCTATCTATATATATAAACTGACAAATTTCCACTGGAAACTTTTTTGTTTTTGTCAAAGCCATTTTTGTGTTTAAAAAAATAATTTCAACCAATTCTAGAAAGTAGGTCTACTAATATATGAGGAATATTGGAGAGGGAAGAAACGACATGCTAACATTTCCAGATGACAGTAAATTGGGACGAGTTGTGTATACCAAAGAAGACAAAAGAATAATACACAGAGATTAAAGAGTTTAGAAATATGGATAGAAAACAGGATTCAGTTTGGGGAACAGGAAGGTAATACAGGAAGGGGTAACTAGCTAACAAACAAACAACTTACAATATGTTCTTGTTTTGTACATTTTATACTGTTATCAACTAACGATAGCACTTTGTGGGCTATAGACAGAGGTGAAGGTAAGAGGTGGCTACCGGGACCGGCCCGTACACAGCCGACGTTAAAGCGCTGCCAGGGACGCCAACCAGAGGGGCGGGGGGCCAAAAGGGGCAGCTGCCCCAGGGCCCAGTAATTTAAAAGGGCCCGGGGCTCCTGGTAGCGGTAGCAGCTGGAGCCTTGGGCCCTTTAAATTGCCACCGGAGCCCCTGGTGGCACAGGACGGGCAGCGCCGCAGGGTGGGCTGATCAGGGAAGGCTGATCCCCAAACCCTGCCCCTTCCACCTGAGGCCCCACCTTTTCCGGGGGTCTGGAGTCAGGCCCCCGTACTGGTAAGTCTTTAGATTTACTTTCACCTCTGGCTATAGAAATAATAATTTAATACTGTAGTCAGTAAAACTTACCACCTGACCACTAGGTGCTGCTGCTGCTATAGACAATCAGGGTTGAGACTATATCTAGGCCAAGCTTTTCAAAAATAGGAGACTAAAGTTTGGTGTCTATATAGATTGAGAAACTAAGCAAGTGGCTTGGTTTTCAAGAGTGCTGAGCACCCTATAGCTCTCACTAATTTCGGTGGCACCTGTGGATGGTCACTGCCTCTGGAAAACACACCCAGCTGCATCTTGGTGTGAAGCCAGAAATGGAGGTACCAAATAAGGGACATTTTAAAAATCTGTGGTAATAGAATTTGGATCTCCTCATTCCAGTCGAGTGTTTTAACTATAAGCCTGTTCTTTCTTTCATCCTTCTGTCTCAGAGCAGGGAGTGTTGAAGCACCTGAGGTTTAGAAGGACTGAGGACCTAACAATAGTGTACTCCTCAGTGCTTTAAGAAATAATGGTAATAGGCTTGCTCACCAGTCATAGCAAGTGTGTGGAGAACTCTTGCAGGATCTAAGATTACTTGCTGTGCTACTGTATGGTGCTTTATGCAGAATTTGTTTCAAGTGAAACCAGAAGTTCTCAAGGTAAATGGTGACCTCTGCTCTGGCAGAATCTTAGTCAGAGCCATTTAGAGCAACTCTGGCCTGACCTCTCTGACTAGGACCCTGGAAAACTTAATAAAAGCATCTCAGTGAAGTGCATGGTAATGTCTGGGTGCAATAAAGCAGCAAATAATGTGCCTCATACTCAGCACAACTGAGAGTAGAAAGGGGGGGGAATCTGATTCTGTAGAATTTGAAGGGAAATTTCTGTGGCTTTTCTGCATGATGTGAAAGTGACACTTAAAGGTGACTTGTAACAATTAAGTAAATGCAGAGGGGAGTGTATTGAATGTGAGCCCTTTCTTGTTGCTTTCAGGTGCATGAAGGTCTGAAGGGGTCTTTTATGTTAAATTATGGATGAAGGCTTGTTCACAGTATATACACAGAGAAATTAGATAACGTTAACTACTCTTGCTGGCAGGTTGCAATGTAACACTATTTTATTTCTTAGAATTGAGAATGATAACACAAGAACCCAAAACACAGAGAGAGAAAAGAGGCTGCTCCCTATGGTGGAGAGAGACAACTCACTCACCTTGTGGTCTGGCTCTTTCACATGCTTTGCCACAGAGCCTCTTGGTTAGCAAACAAGACCAGGGACCCCCTTACTCTTAAAGAGAGCACTTGCAATTCCAATGCAGTGCTCAATACACGGGTGGTGGGTGGTGGAAGGGATTTGCTTTTATATATTAGAAATGTGGATCTTGCCTATCCTGTTTGTCTGGAGACTCGATGGCTAACCAGAGAACTAGTGGGCTTATTCTATCAGTATCAGAGTCTGAATGTGGAGTTTGTTAGTTGTGAGCTCCTTCTGTCTGGCTCAACAGCTACCGATCAACAACAGGTTTCAGAGTAGGAGCCGTGTTAGTCTGTATTCGCAAAAAGAAAAGGAGTACTTGTGGCACCTTAGAGACTAACCAATTTATTTGAGCATAAGCTTTCGAAAGCTTATGCGCAAATAAATTGGTTAGTCTCTAAGGTGCCACAAGTCCTCCTTTTCTTTTTGCGATCAACAACACTGGATGGAGCTATGTACCCAGATTTTGGGAGTACATTACTTGGCACAGTAGCCCCTTTAAAGTTACAGAGGGGCATATTACAGAAATACTTAAGGAATAGGTTAAGCGACAAAATTAGCATTGATGTATTGCCACAATTACACATGCAACTGTGGGGAATTGTATGCACAACTAATTTTGCAATTGCACACTTTTGTGTACAGCTCTTCACTTCTAAGGCTTTGAAGTTTAGGCAAATGACATCTAAAATAAGTGTTCTGAATTGCTGCCACTTTACAGCTGCATTGCTGCAACAAGACTTAATTTTGGTTTCCTCTTTACTTTTTGCTTCCTTGTGGCTTTTAATTCCAAAGAAGTGCTGGAGTTTTAACAATATTTCAGGTTTTTAGCTAAAAACAGACTAAGACTCTTGTGTATTTTGAAACCTCTGTATTTAAAGTTGTGAATCACTGTTTAAGCCCAGCATTCATGCCACTTCTCTGCAGTCCATAGGGTGGCGATTATAATTTCCTGACTAGAAATTCATTTCTGGTTTAATACAACTGACAAGCATTCAGGTATAAAGTCTTTATACATTACTAGGAAGTTAAACATGTTTGACTCACAACTGTTAAAAATGGCTTTTTAAAACTTATTTGGTGGCTTCTGATGTGAAGATTCTTTACATCAAATTATATTTTTTATAAAAATGTTGCCGGCACCCAGTGCCGAGAGGCTGAACAACAGCTTGAATGGTTCGTTACCCGGTGTGCTACACCCAATAATCACAACGGGGTGGAGAAGCAGAAAAGTTTATTTGCAGCTGCAAAAAGGTACAGGGAGAATAAAATCTCAAATCCTGCACAACAGAGCAGGAAGTTACACAGGCTTTTATACATCCTTTTTCCCAGCATACTTATCCAATAGCAAGCTGCTCCAAGTATCCATATAGCCAGCCAATCCAGTTCCCAGCTAGTTCCCTGATTCTCTGTATCATTTGTTAAACTATACATAAAGCTGCTTTATTCAGCATTGTTCTTCCATATCTCCCCTGTTTGGCGTTGCTTAGTTTCAGGCAGTCTGACTCTGCAACATACTGTTGCAGATTCTCAGCATAACTGCTGTGTGTGCCTCCAGGCGGGGGGGGGGGGGGGGGGGGGCCAAGGACACTTGGGCCTAGCACGCAGAGCTGCTGCGAGTGCCTCCAGGCAGGGGGGGGGGGGCAAGGACACCGGGGCCTAGTGCGAGGGGGCTTCATCGACACTTGTGGTCTTCCATCCCCTCGAGTTACCTAGTGGCCATGCCCCAGTGTTCCCAACAACTCCCCCCTTTGAGAACACTCAGCAGCCTTGGCTCTGAGTTTTCTCACTTGGGCTACTTATTTCTTTACAATATGACTTTGCATAAGCACTTTGTGATAGCCCTGAAGAGAATGACTTATTAACTTTTGCAAAAGGGCCCTGACACATGATACCGCACAGCATAATACCAGTAATACAAGCAGTACAGGAAAGAGAAATTTCAATAGCAGGCTAAATAAACCACCAAGCCAAGACGACAAACCCCAGCCTGAAAACAAGGTTTGCAACCAATCGTTCTCTGGGGCAGTATAGGCAACCTGTGCTCCGTCTCGGGCATGGGCCTCAGCCTGTACCACCTTTTCATAGATCTCATAACTGCTATCATTTACATATACACAACATCGG